ACATGGGCCAGTGAAGCGATGTCGTCCACAACTAAACTGAAGAACAAAAGGACAGCAACTTGTCTGTTCCCCTCCCCCAACTCCCAAACACTGTTCCCCTCCCCCAATTCCCCAATAAAATCTTAAAAAATTAATAAATAAATAAAATTACAAATAAATAAGAAATGTAGGTAAGACACATAGTATAGCATCGGGCGCCAAAGAGGCACACTCCCCTGATTGGAGTAAATCAATTTAAAAATTGTAATTTAAAAAAATGAGTCAGTCAAGATCAGACAACTACACTATCTTCTTGCGTGCGCTTCTAAAATATTCTGGCATTCTTTGCTCACTGTTCATTGTGGTCTCACCTGACTTCAAGCATTGGCATCAAATGTCAGCTCCTGTGATTTCACAGTAACTTGGGTCTAACAGCAAGCACTGAACTAAAATTTCTTTGGTTTAGAAAAACATTTCATGACAAATACGTTGTAAAAGAAAATACGAGAAGAGCCAAAAGCGCAAAGTATCATTTTCCCCAAGAAACAAGAATGGCAATAGAAACGGTATATTTTAATTACCTTTTATAAAGAAAAACCAATAAAAGTTAGCCGTTTTCCCCTTTTAGACTAGAATTTGAATCTAATCCAAACCAATAAAATTATAAAATGGCATATTTGTACAGTGCTTTATCTCATGTGTTTCTCCCGACAGTAGTAGGTAGCAGATAGGATATCAAATTTGTTTTTATTTTATAAATAAGGATGTAAGTCTGAGGCAGATAAAGTGGCTTGTTCAAGAACACATAGCCAATAAATGGCAGAGTCTGGTGTGAAGTCAGAGATGTGGCTCCATATCACGTACTTCAGTAGAGATCACCATCCGAGAACCATCTCGGCTTCTGTGAAATTCTTTACAATAACTTCCAGCTGCTCTTCCCTAAATTGACATCTTTAGTGTCTAAAAGACAAATTAATTACAGTGTGACATATTTTCTTAATTCCTAACCATTAGGGCATATCTGGCCATTTGGGGTGGTAGCGGCTATGGCCAGATAGGGGCTTATGATAGGACCAGAAGTGAAAATTCAAAAGAACGAATTTCTAATAGAAGAGCGTACAGTGAAATAAATCCTGAATCGCTCACAGCTTTTCCTTCGCGCCCTTCACAACCATATCACACACACACAGTGATACCTACCTTCTCCATCACCTTCTAATTATAGCCCAATTAACGCACAGGTGGACTACAAGACCATAAATGAGAGGCCATGTGAATGAACCTTCCTTCCTTCCACTAACAGCTTCCTTATCTCTCCCCATTTACAGTGTTAAGACAGCTTGAGGACCAGCCGAGTGGCTCAGTTGGTTAAGAGCTTGCTAAAGAGTGCGAGCTCTGAGCAACAGGGTCGCCGGTTCGATTTCTGGCCTGAGCTGAGCTGCTGCTGAGCTGCCAACAGGTGGCAGGATGGCCCAGCTAAAAAAAAAAAAAAAAAAAGAGCCTGACAGTGAGTGACTCAGGAGCACTGCTTCCAAATGGACACCTGTCCCCATCAGGAACAACCAATTCTACTCAAGTGACCTTTCATGTTAACTTTCAAAGAGTGGATTATCAAAAGTCCAAGTTTATTCATCTAGCTTGGTCAAGGATGTGTATTCCTTAATCTATGAGTCTGATCAAATATAATTTTTAAAAGTTTACTATAATCCTTCATGGTTAAATCCTTATTTTAGAAGAAAACTAATGGAAAGGTGAGTTTCAATATACAGAAATATCCATTACAGGTTAATATTTCTAGACTGTATCTATTCCATTTGGTATTGTGAATATTCTAACCCGGAGCTGGTATAACTGATTTAAATCACTGCTTCCTTTAGGTAAACAGTAGCAGCTTCAAAAAACATTATCTTGAAGGGAAAATGAGTGATTTGCTCTTGTCTCTAAATTTTACTAACATATTACTCCCAGTCCAGTTCTATCTTAAGCAAGTTTGAGAAATGTAGTCATAATCCATATCTATTCTTTTTCAAGACTAAGATAAAATAAGAAAAGCTGAAACTGACTAAATAACTCAGATATCCTATTACAAATGTTGAAAACAATCCATCTCTTACCATTTCCTAAATGCTATAAATGCACAGTTCTACTCAACCAAGCCACTCTTCAAGTCCCACTCAAAGACTGACAAGTGATTCAGATAAAAGTGGTTTTTAACATTCAGTTCAACTCGCACCTTGAAGAAATTACATTTGATTAAGACCCAATTCTCAGAAGGATTCCTTATGTATGAAAGAAACAGCTAAACCACTATTTTCACAAGCATCGGACTTTTAAAAATGCCTTTTTAAGTCATAAAAATGTATCAAAATTATTACCTTAACAGCTACCAGGTAATAGACGCCTATGTAAGTGTTAGGCACACATAGTCTCGTTTACCCTAAGAACACTGCAAAATGTGTTACTACACCTTCAATCATAGGAAACCCAAGCTCTGAGGAGTTAAGTGAACTGCTCAAGGCCACACGAGTCAATGAAGTGTAGGGATTTGAACTCAAATTCACCTAGCTCCAAAGAATGTCTGTTCTTCTAAACTGTACCACTTCCCCATTTCACAATAGAGGAACAGGAAGAGTGTGAATGGATTTGTCCTGCAGGTGTAAGCATTTCACCAAAAAAAGGGAGAACATTTCTCAATCAAAACCACTTTTTGAAATCCACAGTGTACTATTTAAACCTCACTTCTTTTCAAGATGTAATTAAATGGTTGAAAAATGTTAGAAATCCTTTTGAAGGAAACTAAATTTCATCACAGAGCTGTACGTGAACTGTCATTTTGGACAAGTCCCCAAGGTTTGTAGTTCTGGCCGCACTACCACTAGCTAGTATGAGGCATTTGACCCAATTCAAATTGTATTAAGCCCCCCTTCCTGGCAAAGAGGGTACAAAGCTAAATAATAAGGCTGTTTCGTACATCTGAAACTAATAAAATTAAATTTTAGAAAAATGAAAGAAATAAGGCCCATCACGAGCCTCAATGAGACAGACTAGAGGAGGAGTCCACTTATACTTCCATTATCTAGTTACCATTAGTCAGGCAAATAAATGAAGTGTAAGAAATGCTAAAACAAAAGTATGTGTAACATGCCATCACAGCTCAGAGAAGGAAAGCAACTGGCCTACTTGTCACATTATGTTGTAACAGTATTTGTTTACATTTCGTCCCTCCCTGACAACCCTTCCAACCTGTCACCCTCTTGCAGAATCCCCCCCACGCAGGCACACACAACCAGAAAGGAAAGCTGTAAGAACAAGGATTGCGGCTCCTAAAAGTGACCTTTGTTGTTGTAGTTTAAAAGCACAATGCTTATTTGTTGATACATACATCATAGTTGATCTATAAGCATTACTTTTCAAAATACATATATTCATGAACTGGGGAAAAAAAAGTTCAATACTTCTGCCATAAGGGCATTTTTGTTTTGCTTTGTCAGGTGAAGAAAGTTTTTGAAGAGGCCAACCAAACCAGAAAAACCCAGGAATAATTCTCTATCTTACTCACTTAGCATAAGAAATCAATCAAAACCAACTGACACACAGTTTCTCGAATTTTTCTTTTTAATTTAGCAGATGGCAAAGGGATATAACAATTGATATTAACACATCCTGGTCATTTTGTTCCACCTGAATTGACCAACATTTAAGCCAGTTCCGGCTGGAATATTTAAACAGAATTATTCTCACGTGATAAGCTAAATTAACCAAATTTAGTCGAGTCATGCAATCAAAACTTGACAACAAGGTTCGTCCTTAATGCAGTCTGCAAATCCCCAAGAGACCACAAAGGAATGAATACAAGAAATGTTAACAGTGATTTATCTCAGCTGATCCTCCATTACAAACTTGAGCAAAAAATTGTCTTGCAAAAACTGCCGTATTTGTCCTGATCTGGGCAATCCAGTGTCTTACAAAAGCAGAATAAGCTGCTTCTTCTGAAAATAAAAAGAAGGGTTGCAGAATAAGAAAAAGAAGGGCACATCGCTTTTTCCTTTAGTTCTGTATGCCTGAGGCAATAAACTCTCAAAATAACTTCACTGAGTGTAAAAGCTAAGAATGAACACCAGAATACAATCCAACTTTCACTGGGAATTCTAAGTTCACAGTTAAGATCTAGAAACTTAAAAAATGGGATGGAATCATTTTGCTTTAAAAACTACTTCCAAAAAACAAAAACACCTGTCTATCCTTTATTCTTGATAAAAAATATTTTGAGGGTTTTCCCGATATTGTTTTTAAACTTTTCACATACTGACTGACTTTGCAAAAAAAAAAAAAATTGTCAGTATGCCATATTTATTTAAAAAGAAAAAAGGTTTGTTTGGTCTCCAAGTATGGCTACACTTGAACACGGTATAGCGTTGAGCCTGTTGCATGGTCCGAGAGCGGGTCCCCACTGGCTGCACGCCTCCGACCCGCGCAGGTCCCCGACCGCGCCCCCAGGAGCAGGCGCCAAAAGCGCCCCCAAAGGCGGGCGATGCCCGGCGTGTTTACGGTCCGCGTCCGCCCCGGGGAGCTGCTCCCTCGCGTCCCTAGCACTAGGTTCGCGGATTCGGTCGGCTGAGAGGGAGCCACTGAGCAGCTGATCAGGGAAGCCCCGGGTCTGGGGGTCCAGGCTCCGCAGGGTAAGGGGGCCTCTGAGGGGGCATCCGCGGCGTCGCGGGGCTGCCGCACCCCGCACTCCGGGAATTGAGGCGCGCTCCAAGTTGGGCTGCGGGCCCGGCACAGCCCCGGAGCAGACAATGCGGGAGAGGGGGCGCGGAGGGAGGAGGGGCTGCAGAGCCGGGGAACGCTCGGAGGCCGCCCATTCATCCCCGCCTGCCCGCGCGCCCCCTCCCCGCCCTGGCCGCCCCGGGCCCAGCCCCCTCTCCGAGGAGCGGCCACAGGGGAGGGGCCGCGCTCCTCGCTGGACCCCTCCCCAAATCACAAAACTTCCCCCAACTCCGCCAACTAAGTTGCGCTCTCACCGTGCGGCGCCCGGGGCTCCCCCGCGGGCCGAGTCCGAGCAGCTCCGCACCTTCGTCGCGGAGAAGACAATAGGCGTTCGCTCCCCCGGCGGCGGCTGGCGGCTGGCGGCTGCGGCGGCCGAGGCGAGGAGCTTGCACCACCGCGGTCCCGGCGGAGTCCAGGAGCTTCTGCCGAGGCTGCTCCGGCTCCGCGCTGGCTCCGAACACCGCCGTCTGCCCGCGCATGCGCCGCAAGCCGCTCGGGGACGGGCGGGCCAGCCGGCGGTAACGCCTATGAGCCCTCCCGAGAGTAAGCGCGGAGCCAAGGTTTGCGAGCTGGGATTACACGATAGAGCTGCCCGTCAAGCTCCGTGAGACCAATAGGAAGGCACCTGGGCGGTCCGCTCTGGTTGCTAAGGAAGGCTGAGGTTGAACGCCGCTGGGGCACCGCGCAAAGCGATCCAAGTCGGGTGGAAAGGTTGCTCTGGTTAAATGCCCACCCACCCTCTGCTCTCCGCCCTAACTCCGAAAACCGCCCTTCTTCTGTTGATGGTGCTTACCTGAACTGTAGCACTTACCACAAGTACTGAAATGATTTATTTTTCTTTTTCCCTCCACTTAAAATCGGAAAGTGGGATTTAGTCTTCTCTGCGTCTAGTGCCTAGGAGAGTCACTGCTAGGTATTCAACGTGTTTTCTGGATGGATGGATGGATGGATGGATGGATGGATGGATGGATGGATGGATGGATGGATGGATGGATGGATGGATCTGTGGAGGCATCAGGATTGTGACAATGCATTCCAGGAACTTTTGGCTACTCAATCAACCCAAAATCATACAGTCTTCGAGTTGCAAGAGACCTCAGAAATCATCTGGTGGCATTTGAGAAACACAATGTCTCTTGGTACAGGAAGAAACTTCATTTTGATAGCTGTGTGTTTATTTCAATGCGTATGGGGGAAGAGCAGGGGGAAATGCCTCTCATGTCAAACCATTATTTCATTGACATTAGATCAAATAGAAAGTTGCAAAAAATGAGTCTACTTAAAGGAAGTAGTAAGTACAAAATGGTGACACTTGACATGCTGTCAAGAGCATGCAAATTGATAGTGACTGAAGTAAATATAGTGGTTATAGTGGTTATACCTACAGGGAGAAGGGCTATTGGCTGGGAAACAACAGGAGGGGTGCTGGAAGTGCTCTGTATTTTGATCTGAGTGGTAGATAACAGAGCTATAGACATATGTGAAAACTCATCCAGATGTACACCTAAGACCGTGCTTCCCGAAAATAAGACCAGGCCTTACATTAATTTTTGCTCCAACAATCTACATGAATTCATTTATTCATGTGCAAAAATCTACATTTATTCAAACAGTCATGTCTGGCTGACGATCTTAACTGGGGCTTACGTTTGGGGTAGGGCTTATACTACGAGCATCCCGAAAAATCATGCTAGGGCTTATTTTCTGGTTAGGTCTTATTTTCAGGGAAACACAGGTTTAGTGCGCTTTACACATTTTACACATGTATTTTTATGTCAATTTTTTTAAATACTGGTATAAGATATAGGGGGAAAAAAGTGTGAAGATGGAAATGACTGCCCTTTGGGAAACCGTGATCCAGGCAAGCTCACTACCAGTGACTGAATACCCACGAGATGGGTATGGTGAAAACCTCATTGCTTGTACCAGGCACTGCCGTTGTTCCGTGGCTCTAAATCTCAGAAATGCTCCTAGCCTTGAGCTGAAATTTGCTTCCCTAAGTGGATCTGGTTCCCACATATATTGTCTTAATTCACCCTCAGGTGAATTAAGGCCAAACATTTCCAATGCTTCTTGTAAAATTATATTGTGAATCGTGCTACTTATCCTCCTTCACGCTCACTCTGATGTCGTTGTCAATATTTAAAAGGTGACAAAGAGAGAGGAGACCCCTAGACTCCTAGATCCTGGGCTCTGCCACAAAGGAGCCATAGATCACTCCTCCTCAAAGAACGTCAGTCTCCTGGAAAGCAAGGGAGCTAATGTAGAAAGTTGCTTGGACCCTAACTTGTGATAATACGGTGGTCTTAAGAATCTGGCTGGTCTGTTACAGAGGCAGCAGAAAATGTTACCTTGTCATCTTTCTAGCAACTGCTGACATTCCCGGCTTCCTGCCTCAGCAGAATTTACACCTTTCCAGGGGGATGAAGAAAGGGTCAAGAGTCCAGCACTTTTCCAAGTTTACTGTGCCTACAAATCACCTGGGAGATTTTGTTACATGTGGATTCTGACTCAGGTCTAAGGTGGAATCTGGGAGTCTCCCTGGTGATACTGATACCACTGGTCTGGGACCTCACTTTGAGTAGCAAGGGTCTAGTCTAAATTCCGCAGACAGCTGAGCCCTCATCCTTTTTGGGAAGTCCTGTCTGCATGGCTGGCACTTTCTCATCATTCCAGTATCAGCTCTAACATCCCTTTTCAGAGAAAAATATCCTTGGCCAGCCTATCTAAAAGAACCCACTCTTACCTAGTCCCTCTCATTCATATTACTCTTTTTTTTTTCATAGTATTTATCTCAGTCTGAAAGTATCATAATTATTTTATGGGTTTATTGACTATCTCCCCCACTATCACATAAGCTCCCTGAAGTCTGCTTTGTTTACAGATTTTCTCTCTCTGTACCTATAATAGTGCCTGTAGGGACAGTTGGAACTCAATAAAAGCTTTGCATGAATGAATTTGTACAGAAAGAGCTACTATGAGACACCCTCAAACCGAGTGTCCCTGATAGTAAAGATTTGTTCTTCCAAAGAACGCCAAACATCTCTACCCAGTGTGCCCCATTTTACCAGAAAGAGATTTGGGGTTTAGAAATTTTCTCTTGGTTGGGGTAGTATAGGTGGCCTGGGCATGTGTGCACAGGGAGCAGAGGACCGTCCCAGGAAAAGGTAGAGCGTACAAAGACGTGGAGGGATATCAGAAAGTCAACACACATGAGAAACTGCAGGGGGGCAAGGGGAACAGATGAAACGGAAGGAGGTTAGCCAAAGCCAGGTTACACTGCCTTACTAAGGAGCATGCTGTTCATTCTGCAAGGCCGAGAGGAACCCTCAGAAGATTTAAGTGAACTGTGGAGGACAGGTTTTCATCTTAGATCACCCTAGCCACCATGTGCTTAGGCTGGATTTAACTGGGGGATGAGGATGAGAGTGGGGGACAGGGTAATCTCTAAGAGAAACCTGGCTCCAGGTAGGAGGTTTTGCAGTCCAGACCTAAGTTTTCACTTCTCAGGTTGCAGAGAGAACCTTCCTTCCTCAATGTCACACCCAATGCTGTCCAATAGAAATATGTGGTGAGTCACACAAGTGATTTAAAATTTTCTAGTAGCCACATTTAAAAAGTAAAAAAAAAAAAAAAGTGAAATTAATTTTAAGGATTTTTTTAAACAACTATATCCCGAATATTATCATTTTAACACGTAATCTATATAAAATTTATTAATGAGATATTTTACATTATTTGTATCATACTAACTCTAAAATAATCCAGTGTGTATTTGACACTTGCAGCACATCTCAATTCAGACTAGCCATGTTTCAAATGCTCAAAAGCCACGTGTGGCTGGTGGCGGCTGTACAGGATGGTACAGGCCAGGTTGATCTATTCTAAAACAGAATCCTTAAATGGAAGTTGGCTCCAAACCACAGCATGTGCCTGGGGCAATAATTCCCACACTATGCCTCTTTCATTTGCATTATCTCATTTATTTCTTACACCCCTGGGCTGGTGCTATTATCCCCCTTTTAAAAGTAACTCAGGCTTAAAGAGATTAAGTAACTTGCTCCAAATCACATAGCTACCGATTGGCTTATCTCCCAAGGGTTGAAAACTAAGGGAAAGTGGCTAAATTCAGTTTAGAGCAGCACACTGACTAGGTCTTCCCTCACTTAGGCTCTCTCTCCTCCCTGCCTCCCCTCCTCCCTTTAGAACTGGGAGTGTTCAGCCTCTCCACAGAGTAGGTTCTCAGTAAAGAGCTAGTTAAGCAACCAATCCCTTGATACTTTAGTTTTCGAGCATAGTTTGTTCCAGAAACAAACTACTCATATTGCAAGACATCGCTTGTTTACCAAGTTAAAATGGATTAGAAATGTTTGCTTGTCTTGAGGAACACTCGCAAACCAAGTTACTCGCAATCCAAGGTTTTACTGTATCCCTATAACACATTTCAGGAATTCTGCAGGCACAAACTAAACAATGTCAAAGAAACGGATTAGAGTTATATGCTGGAGTACAAATAAATGCATGGTGAGTGGCATTGATCATGATGATTATTTAACAGCTCAGACAGTATTAACATTTTTAGAAACCTTGATGCATACCCATTGCAAATAGTTATCCAGAAAGGTTATGCTGGTTTCCATTCCTGCTGTTAGGGTGCCAGAGGGCTGAACCACCCTGACTTAAGTTCCTCTTGTCTTAGACAGAATGAATAGAGCTTTAGAAGCATCCACAGCTGGGTTTGGATCCTGGATGCTCAAATTCACTGTCTGTAAAGCGATCCTTCCCATCTAGTAGTCACGTCATGACAAATACATAACCTGGCACAATGCAAGCGCTCTCCCCACTTTAACTCCCTCCTCCACTAACTCCTTTACAGATAGATGTAAAGAGAAAGGTCTAGGAGTAGATCTCATCATGCAGAAAAGGTGGTATGAGAGAAATGCCAGAAAACATGGACCAGGCCACAATAGTAAGAGAATTTCCAACAAAGAGTGCATCTTGTCATATATTCGTATTGACCTCCCCAATAGATGTGGCAGCCATCTAGTCTCCTGCTCCCAAGAAGTTCACCAGCCTTTAATTAATATATGCCAGATTAATATATGTGGCACCTAGTGATAGAACAATTTATTTAATTTCCGAAACCCTTGATTTTCTCCATAATGACCCTTCCAGTAATAGGTTTGCTTAAAGGCTGCTCATGGGATCAAATTAAGCTTCTAAGGTCATTATATTTCCAATGGTAGAAGAATTAGGGGCTCCTGGGGTGATGGAAGGAAGGGAATCCCAAAGCCTCAGGGTAGAGGGACCACCCTGGCCTCAAACATAAGCTACTGCTATATTTCCTGGTTGGGAGTCAAGGGGATTTAACTTGAGGGTTGTGAAAGGATCCAGAGATTCCCTTCCGATAACTGCGAAAGAAAACCAGAGTCTCTTTTTGGGGTAACATTATTTTGATTTGGTTAGGTTGGGTTTGCTGTTTACTAA